TTGTCTCTGTCTGTGTGTGTTGCTTAATTTCTTTACTTTCTGCCATTGAAAATTCGGTCTTAATAATAAAGAATATGTAGCCTTTGGAACCCTGGCTTCTCACTTGCACCTCTCCAACATCCAGGGAGCCCTAGAAGATCTTTCCTCCAAGCGTGAGATGTGAGAGCAGCGTGGCAGACCCAGGAGAGGAGAGCTGAGGGAAATTGCTCTTTACCTAACCTACGCCAATGGCCAGCATGTGGCCGCTACTTCACCTGTTTAGACAGAGCATGTCTTAGGAAAAGTTCTGGCATCCCAAAGCCAGACATGTTAGGGAAGCAGTTCAGGGGCCTCAACACAATATACCAGCTGATTAGTTTCTTACACCACAGTTGTGACTGAGGACTCTATACAAGTTTATTTGTCAATCAAGCTTTAGGTTCATGTAGGTCCACAATTCCAGCTCCTTCGATGGAATTAAGAAGAATTATGATAGGTATAGAAGAAAGCCTTCTAGAATCTAAAGTGAATTCACAAGGAAAGAGTAAAATCTTCGATGGAATTAAGAAGAATTATGATAGGTACGGAAGGAATCTAAAGTGAATTCACAAGGAAAGAGTAAAGAAATATTCCAAAGGGGATAGTTCATAATTTAAAAGAATTTCTTTAATTTTATTTTCTCCTTTAAATGTCTCAAATTCCTCACATGGAATTCTGTACTGCCAAAAAATTTACTTCTTAGCCTTTCTTTGAAGACCTACCAAAAAAATAACAACATGAAACATCAACTTCTGATTGAAATTTTTTTTTAAAATGTGGATTCCATTAGTCACCATGAACACCAGCTTCATTGGATTGACATAAAGAGAGTTCTGGAAATGCTTGTCAGAGCAGCAGGACGCTTTCTCTTTTGCTCAGTAGACTGTGCCTCCTCATCTGCCATTTGTGTTAAAAGTGCGTGTGGTTCCCTGGGATTTGCTAACTTCGTTGTCTAAGAAACTGGACATAAAGCTGAGGTGGACAGAAAGGGCTGGGGTTGACAATTGTGGACCCAATAAAACCTTGGTGAGATTAACATTAAGAGTCAAGTGAGTTTATAATTTCTCTTCCAGACTTCTGAATAATCATTGACATTGACCTTTTGTGCTTTTTTCTTCACAGAAACATGAGTCTGGGTGCAAAAGCAGAAGTAGCAACAGATAAGCTTACTTTTCCTCTTAAAAATATTACTCGAGAGAATATAGCTAAAATGATAGCTGGCAACGACACACAAAGTTCAACAACTCCAGTGTAAGTTGATTGTTCCTGTTACTATAGCTTGAATGGGTGTATGTACCTGGTAAAGAATCTCTACCTACGAATTCATCATGTGCAAGAAATGCAATCATCATTCTTTGATAACTCAAGTGAATTTCTGTTTGGGGGCCTCATTGTGCTAGATTAAAGCAACTCTATCATTTCCCTCTCGCTCCCTGTCCCCTAGCCAGGGAGTATTGCTCTCACCCCTGAGCAGCAAGCCGTGCTGTTGTATTCTGTAATCACCAAAAGCCAGGGGAAGACTCTGCAAGACCCCTTTCCTGTTGTTCCTGCTGCAGGGTCACTGAATGCCTAGCTAATGAATGGGGGGTAGACAAAAGGTAAACAGAAATTTGAGGAGGAAATTATATCTTAACATATTATCATGCCCTATAAGTGCTCCATTTCAAACACATCCAAGCTGTGATGTTTAGATTCTAATATAAGAACTAGTAGGAGAAAAAAAATGCTATTGGTCTAAAACTGCTAAATGATGTCCACTAGCCATTTCCCAGTTCTGTGGCCAGTCTGCCCTGGCCCCATTTTTATGCTTTGAATGTGAGAACCACCATGACGCAACCCTCAGACAGATTCCTGACTAAAACATTCTTTGTTAATCAATGAAGTTGAAGGTCCCTTTAAGATTGTCAGGTCCTCCTCCATCACTTCCCAGATGCAAACACAGGTCTAGAACAATGGAATAGCCTTTTCAGGTGACCCAGCTGATCCCTGCAGAGGTAGGATAAGGTTCAGGTCACCAGTTCTCTCCTCACACCTCACTCGTTTCACTAGATCAAATGCAGTCCACTTGGTTATTGATATTTTTGAAATCCTAAAAATTAAAAGAGTGCTCAATGTTATTAATACAAATGATAGGCTCTTAGCAAGAAAGACAACCCTTTGCTTCAGAAACAGTAACAGATATGGGAACATCTCTGCATCAGTTTTAAGGTATTAATTAGCTTGTGTATGGTGTTTAGATGAATGAGCATTTGGATAGAACCTGATGAATATTTTTGGATTCACAAAGGAAAAAGTAAAGTGAATTCACAAGGAAAGAGTAAAGAAATATTCCAAAGGGGATAGTTCATAATTTAAAAGAATTTCTTTAATTTTATTTTCTCCTTTAAATGTTGGAGAATTCTGATTATAACGAATACCCATAAATGATGGTGACTACACAGTGTATAGACATATAAAGACTCTTGCCATTATTTGTTTGGTATAAGGTCAAAATAGCAATAAAAAATCAATTTTACATGGTTCAACAACTAAAACTCAATTACCTCTTTTTTTTTTTCCTTTATGCACAGGACTATAGAAAGGATCTACCCATATTATGTGAAAGCACCTAGTGATTCTAACTCCAAACCTATAAAGCAACTTTTATCTGGTAAGAATGAGAGGGAATCACTCAATCATTCTTTTTAATCTTTCTTTTATTCAACACCTAGGGTTTGTATTTTTCAGCCTGTATCAAACTTCTTTCCAGTTTTCTTTCCCTTGCAAGAAGCATAAGGCTCCTGGCTGTGCTCACCAGCCAGAGGAGTCATTCCCTCAGCTGGGATCCATGTTCTTTGTTTTCTTTTTCTGTTTATTGATATAGAACCTGGTTGACTCAAATTCATATTTAATGACTATGTTACTGCTTAGTCAGTCTGTTTACTTGTTTCTTTTAGCAACCATATCTGTGGCAGAAAACTGTCTCTTACAATGTTAAATATGAAGACCCCACAATAAGAGCAATGAAAAGATAGTAGGAAATATACTTGATTCAGCCCACGGGTGATCAAATATCAATAGAAGTGCTCCAGGGACTGTGTTTCCCCCATACAACCGTGATGGGAATGAATTGATGTCTAACTAGTTGTTGGGAATTATTAGCAAAGATGGATCTTTCCCTCTCTCGCTGTGATTCTGCTGCCCTGCACATGTAGCCACAGTGACTGACCTTTTTAGTAAAAAAAAAAAAGAGAAACCCCAGACACACCTAGGCCCACTCTTTCTTTTCACCTGCATTGTTAACATGGCCATGTGGACATCCTGGAATCATATGCTGTGGACGGGAACCAGGTTTTGCCATTTGAAGACTGTTGTTGATGTGCTCATGCTAACTTGATTTTATATTTTTTCTCTTCCAGAAAATAATTTCATGAATATCACCATCATTTTGTCCAGAGATAATACAATTAAATCTAATAGTGAGTGGTGGGTTCTCAATCTAACTGGAACTAGACTCTACAATCAGCATGCCCAGGCCTTAGAGCTGGTGGTCTTCAATGACAAAGTCAGCCCCCCCAGTCTGGGCTTCCTGGCTGGCTATGGGTAAGGACCCATTTAACAATTAACAGTTATGAGAGTCTATGTCTGCTAACCACTGTGCTGAATTCATAAACTAATACAAAATGATATCAGATGTAAACTGTAATTGAAAAATAAAATTGAAAAAAATGCCCCTCAAAAAGAAAACATTTCTGTTCTTAAAAAAAGGAGTCTACTTCTGTATCATATAAAGTTGAAGATGGGAAGCCATTTATCTTCTTAAAATTTTCCAGTTTTGTAGCTGGAATATTAAATTCACAGATCCTTGACACTTCATCTTAAAAAATAAGGAACCAGAGTCCCAAAGACGTCCCAAGCCTTGTGTGGCTCACACTGCTAATGACGGGACTAGAAGCTGTATTTCCGGCTTATGAACTGTATCTTCCTGTTAAGCACAATTTGATGGATGCGATTCCGTGTTTAACTTAGAAATTAGCATAAATTTATCTTTCTTTGCTTAGATTTCCTTATGCCCTTAGCAGATATAGGATCAATTAGAAATCATAGTTTTGGACAAGTCTAATGTTACCCTTTAACTACATGCTGATGCTTAAAATCTTAGGACACGGTCACACATCCCCTACAAGGAGAAGTAGAAACTTTTCCATTTTCCAGGATAAACCTCTTAAGAAATCACTGTCTAACCAAAGTTTTATTATAAAAATGAATCTCTAACAAATGCAGTATTATTAAAGTGAAAAGTGTTAGGTACAAAAAAATATACAGAGTATAACTGGATTTCTACCAAATATATGATATGGTTGATGCATGTATTATATGCGGTAAAGTCACCTGAAGTTCATATGTGAAACTGTTAAAATTAGTAAATTCCAAAATGTGAGATTTCACAGGACTTTTCCTTTTCAAATCTTACAGTTCTGTAATGTGTAATTTTTTTAGAAAGAACATGAATTGCCTTTTTTATCATCAAAAAGTAAATGTTTTCACCAGAGAAAAACTGTAAGCTTTGCTACGTTTATCACATCCTCTATGGATTTTGAAAGAAAATGTTATGCTTTTCTTTTAGATGCATTCTATTTACCATATTTAACTGCTAGCTACAATTTCTGCTTTTTTCTTTTTTTTTTTCAGTATCATGGGACTGTATGCTTCCGTTGTCCTTGTGATTGGGAAGTTTGTCCGCGAGTTCTTCAGTGGGATTTCTCACTCCATCATGTTTGAAGAGCTTCCCAACGTGGACCGAATTTTGAAGTTGTGCACAGACATTTTTTTAGTTCGAGAGACAGGGGAACTGGAACTAGAGGAAGATCTCTATGCCAAATTAATATTCCTGTACCGCTCACCAGAAACCATGATCAAATGGACTAGAGAAAAAACAAACTGATACCTTAGGACACAGACTGCAAATCAAGATACCATTTGAATTTTCAAAAACAAAGAAAAGCACAATATTCTCATAAGAGCTATGCATTTCTCATTCGATGGGAATGGTTTCTCTTCTGACAGGCGGCCAAAGGGAGTTGGCTTCCTTTTGTAGTCAAAGCTACCTTGCAGGTTCAGGCGCTGTTGAAAAAGTTATTTGTAATTCCATTTCTCTGAATCAGGGCTACTTGGTTTATGTTTTAATCAACAGTGTCTTGCATTCTGATAGACTATGTGAAGGAATCATTGATGGGTCTCCTCCCTCAGAGAAACAGAAGAGAAGAAGGAAGAAGGAAGGGCGCCATGTTTTCCTGTGTGGGGACCTTGCCCTTCCTGAAGAGATGCTACAATACAGGCCACAGCGCTCTGTCGCCAATGGGGAAGCTGCTATGGGGAGAATAGATGGACCTCAGCACAACCCGAATATGCAACAGCAATAGAAGGCTGAAAACTCCTAAACATTTCTAGGAGGAAGAGAGGGAGCTGATGACCCTTGAAGATGCCAGTGGATGGATAAGCCTCATTCTAAGCAAAAAGATAACTTAGTGACACTCTTACTGCCTTATCTTAACTGAAGATTAATAAATTTTTTTTCCCATTAAACACCAGTGACTTCTCAGGAAAAAAAAAAAAAGCAGCAAAACAAATATGTGGACACTGGCTTTGTTGAGACCCAGCTAGTGATTCACGTCAATGGTGGTGGCTGTTCTACTTCCGAGAGCCCATTACCGCTCCTGGTGAAACACAGACAAGAAGTAGAAAGATGGAAAATGCCGCCCAGCAGAGGTGGAGCACCTTGACTTTGTAACTCTTTATTAACTGAGGTCATGAGCACTCTTCTACCTGCTCCATCCCCCAACATGCTTTTTCCCATTTCGATGATTTAAAGCAATGGTTTTCCAGTATGTGACATTTTCCTTCCTGTTTTTCAGGTATATCAAAGAGTTTACATATTCCAATTCACATTTTTACATCTGAGACGGGTTTTTTAAGTTCATAATTATGAAAGAAATATGTATATTGAGCTTGGGGAAATAAACAATGGCCTTTTCTTAAATTATTGTTATTGGTAATACAACCTCTTCATTAAACAACATTGTAGCATGGAAATTTATGACTGAAATGTAGTTTTCATTCCATATTAAAATACAGTTTCTGAGAAGAATCATTGAATGGACTAGAATATGTCAAGAAAAATGATCCTATGTAGTGTGGGTTCAGGACTGACTCAAAATAAAGCACATCTTGCAAAGTCATTTTAGGAATATTCTTCATTCTGTCTTCTTGCATTATTTGTTTTAAGTGTTGTGTACAAGGTGTTTTTAAAATCAACTGAGAAAAGAATTCACTTATTGTTAGTTTGATTCGGGGTTTTTTTTCCTCTCAGGTAGGTGCTCTATGTGAACAACACAGCAGTAAATAACTATAGCAAATTAATTTCCAGAGGAAAGTATTACAGTGAATATGGAGCTTTAAAAAAAATAGCAGAGTTCAAATGATGTTCAGTGAATTCTAGAGAATTAGTGAATATTTGTTCAACTATGAAAGCTAGCGTACTTCCAGCCTGCCGAAATAAACGAGTCCAATCATTGAAACAATAAACTCAAGCCATTCAGGGAACTCTGGCCCATGTTCTGATTTCCCGACAAGAGGACGAATCATTGTGCATATTTCTGAATCTGAATTCTTTCTTTCTAAAATGTCAACAGGGAATTTCCAGAGAGCACATTATAACACACTTAGGAAAGAGGAAAGTTGAAAAATGCTCCTGAAAAAAAGTGTAAGGTCAAAGTATATCAGATTGTAATATTCCTCAAGAAAACAATTCCCAGGTTTCAAGAAAAAAAAAGCCTCCCTGTGTGTAAGGGGGGAAATATCAAAGGTGTTGACATAAGAAATGTCCAAACTTGTAGAGAATTTTTGGAAGAGTTTATTTGAGCCAAACATATGCCAGGAGCAAGATCTCAAATGCTCAGGAGAATGACAGTTTTGTGGTTTCTTTTACGCCTTAAAAATTAAGGAGGGGAGGTAAGGAAGATTACATGGAGGTGGGAGAAAGCAAGGTACAGATTGGATTACAAAAGAGTTAAGACTATTTCCTTTAAGGTTGTTATTTCAAAGGTCTGTTAACTTAGATGCACGGAGTGGGCAGGGCTTGCTGACGGCAAAGATAAGCCTTTTAGTAAAGAAGTTATACGCCTGCATGACTACCCACCAAGACCTGCCCAGGTAGGAATTTATGATCGGATCACCCTGTGAGGTTACTTTCCATAGAACCCCTTTTGTTCACAAGGACATATGGAAGGTTAACTTACAGAAACAGTAGGAGAGCACACCTCCCAGGGAGGCATGTGCTGGATGGAGTGGAGCTGGAGCAGAGCCTGAGGTGGCCTGGCTTCTAGTCCCGGCTTGGCCACCATCAGGCTGGAACCCAGACCCCTCCCCAAACTTCTATGTGACGATATGAAATGATCATGAGGCCGTCACCAGCCACACTCTGAGCCCCACAGGACACACT